TTTATTGTAATTTGGCACTATACAAATAAACTTGCAATGAACTGAATTAAAATGCAGACACAGCTTTGTTTCGTACCACAAACATGATTATGCTATTGCCTCCCAGGATGATGACGTAACCCAGCAACAGAATGACAAACAGGATCATCGGTCTGTCGCCGAGGCTGGAGAGGCCCTGGATGATGAAGAAGGTGACACCGTCAGGCTCCCTGGTGCCGTTAACAGAGCTGGATCTGTGACTGGTCGACAAGGGTGGGTCTGAATCTGGAGACACAAGTAGAGAGGTGTCAGTGTTGAGTCACAGTCAGGACATCAGGAGGCCGAGTGCACTTCAAGGCTCATGGTCCATGTTCACCTGGGGGATTTCATACTGCCTGACATAGTCCTGTGTCTTATTTTGCTGCAGTTATTAGTTGATAATTAGAAATTATATCAATATTTGGTAACAGATTAATCATTTCAATCATATCCTAAGCAATGTGAGAAATAGCAACCTTTGTCTGATTCCAGCTTCTAAAAATGTGACGATTTTCCAGTTTTCTCTGTTTTATATGATATTAAACAAAAGATCTTTTGGTTTTGGACTCTTGGTCAAATGAAACAAGACATTTTAAGACATCTTCTTTGGGCTGGGGACAGTTATAACAGGGTTTTTTTTTACTAAATATGTTTTTTATACAACTTCTTCACCAATATATTTTTGTAAATAACAATGACTGGGTTTATTAAATAGAAATAATTCAAAGATTAATTGATTCTGAAAAAAGTAGTGAGAAGTGTCATTTCATTTGTAGGCTGGGTTGCTACACCACACACAGATATACACTGCTCAAAAAAAAAAGGGAACACAAAAATAAGACATTCAACTATGTTGTGTTCCCTTTATTTTTTTGAGCAGTATATATAGACTCTTATGGTACTGATGGCCCCAGCAGTGGTAAGGGGTTACAATATACATTTCTGTAGTTTTCACTAGTGTTAAACCAGGAGCTAACAGGGTAAGAGCTTGACATTAGTGGACCAGAGCAAGCAGTAAAGTGATGGACATGACGAGACAAGATTGTAGTGCACAGATACAACACTGTAAGAGAAGAGCAGATCCTGTTGTGCCTCTGTGTACATTAGACAAAAACAGTTCAGCACTAAGATAAATGCAGATATTAGAAAGTGATATTAAGTATTTTCAAATTAATGCCTCATATGTAACTTAACCATATGTTGCCTGTCACAAAGCTCACACACCATGAAACCAGTGCAGTACAGAGTCAGCAACACACAATGAAAAGCACAGAAAAACTCACAGACCTCTGGGGCTTTCAAGTGAGACCTGAAGCGGCCAAAGCTCCATTTCTCCTCAGCACAGACAGATGATAGATGGCTG